AGTTGTTGCTTTGTTGAATTGCACTTTGCACGCACGCGTTTGAACCTCAGTTTGGCACCACAACCATTTTATAAGTTTCTGCTGTTTTTGTTATTGTCTTGTTTTTGTTTTCAGACTTTGTTGCTTTCTATTAAGTATCTGGCGCTATAAATTATTTGGGTTGTGATACTTCCGAGACAAGAGATTGTTAGAGTCTTTGCAGCACCTAGAAGCAAATTCTTTATTTAAGGGGGCAGACTCAGAGGAATATAACTTTGAGTCTCTCGGCGAATGTCTTTGTTTTGTAAGCGTTCTCTTAAATAATCTAATGGATAGTCCAGAAGCTAAACTCATATCTGTATATGAGTTTCTCGATCGCCATAAAGCGATCTCGTCTGGTCCGAGATGTCCTGAGAGACGACGCAAGTGAAACAGATTCAACATGGAGTAGTATCAGCAGGTGGAGGATTTAGTTTTACGATTCTTCAGTCATATTTAATTCGTATTCATTTTTACGCGCCTTAATTATTGCTAATTTTCAATTTTATTGCGAGTTCAACCTCCGAAATGGCCAGCAGGTAGACAAAAGCAAAACAAATCGATCGCCTTCAAACCAGAGTGGTATTTTTCAAGTTTATCGGCGAAATACGCTTTTGTTTTTTCTTGCACTGCCAGCTTGTAATTTTCAATGAAATATGATGTAACAACCTGCTATTATGAAAAGGTGTTTTTTACAGCTGAATTAATGCTTCAAGAATAACTCGCCTGTATTGGCAGGATCCATCAATTCATGCAAACATTTTCCGCTGTCCTTCATTAATTTTTATGCATTTTAAGGCTGTTGACAACAGCAAACAATTCTCTATCTTTTTGAAATGTTTTTTATTCTGTTGCGCTATTTTTTTAATGGGAACTCGTGTGAGAAGTTCATATCCTCAACTCGTTCCTTTTTTCTTCTGTCGCACGGTTCTTTCCTCTACGCTTACCTATCCATTTCCCCTTCGTCTCGTGGAGGGTGTAAGGGAATGGAAAGAAATTTAGCGTTACTTTCTCAATATCGAGATTAACGGCATTTACATCCCGTGCTGACTCTCACGGAGGTTAAGATGAATTGCAAATCTCGCATCAGACAGCATCGCTTTACCGCGCGTTCATTCTGGTACGATCGTGGCAGCTCGTACTTCGCAGCTGTGACTTCTCATTTTAGAAGCAGTGGTTGTACGCCAATATTGTCTTATTAACAGTTTTCATGTAATTAAATTACGTTTATGGATGGATGGATATTTCACTCCTGTGTTCTCGTGGACGAATTAAACTTGCGGGCATCGCGTTACATATCTGCAGTTGTATAAATGCGCGCTATTTGATTTGTGTATTTTTTTAGGAGCTGGGGTCTACTGTCGTTTAAGCTAAAATTAGTCGATTGTCTTCTCTAGTCGTGTTGATTTTTCCTGTATGCGTTTGTTCTCTTGTGATGTGAACATTCAATGGAAAACGGCCGAAATTTGGAGTCTGGCGTGTACACAACGCGCGTAACCACCGGCGCGACGGTGCAGCCCAAGCCATTTCTAGACTTTTCATACGTACTCACTTTGCCTGGCATATTGAAGATTCTTGAACTGGTAAAGAGTTTTCTTATTCATAAAATTTTTCTATTTTTATGTAATATTATTTTTACATTGCATGTTTCGTTTGTGTTGGTTGTCGTACTGAAAAGAGCAAGAAATACGGTTTACATACAACTCAACCAATTTGGTTGATCAAACGATTGACTTGTATTAACGTTTCGGTCCGTGTCTTATGGATCTCATGAAGGTGATGAGATTGGTTGACTTCCGAACGTGACGCAGGAAAGTCTCCTCCGAAATGGTTAGAGTTTGCCGGCATTATAAAGATATGATACTTGCTGAACAGGCGCCTCAAGGAAGCATTAATCATTCAGTTCTACGACAAC